GCCTAGACCCGCCCATTTTGACTGATCCCTTTCTAAATTTGGTTTAGTCAGTTGCTTTAAATCCTAAGGTTAGTCCCAAATTTGCTTATGTCAAGCAAAAATAAATTTAATAGAATTGTGTTTTTAAAGGCATGCTTATATTTCCAATTGCTTTTAATACAGCTGCTGTTTGAGTATGAGAAACATTTTTGATTGTTTAATTGTATGTACAACATGCATACAGTAAAATCTGTGGATCACAAGTATTAGCCACATGTGTCTGTGTAGCTACTATTCAGACCATAATAACATTTGGACGTGGAGATAGCACTGGGGATAGAGACACATATTTGGCATTTGCGAAACCCCAGTTTTATCTCTGGTGTTTCATGTGCCCCCTCCCCTGCACCTCTAGGTTTGGTCATGGTGGCCCCTGAGAATGCCAAGGAGACTCTGGTATTCCCTTGCACCAAAAGGTCCAATCAGCTTTTGTACCTTTGGCTCAAGCATTGAACCCTTCTGTCCCATTTGGCCCAGTATTGCTGTTAGAGGCCCTAGACTTCCTCCTTCTTGAAAGGCTTCCCTTCAATCCTTGCCCTCTCAAAAAAATACTATTAGTGGTAGTATTCAGCAGTCCTTATTTATACTGGCTTTGGCTTTTGACAACACTCAATATCCTGTGGGTAATCACTATTTTGAATTATACCATGGATGGGTTTTGCTGTTTTGAGTTTCATAGGAATCAAATCATACAATACATGTTTTGTGTTTTTCCAACTCCCATGACACATCTTATCCATAGTGTTACATGTACTAAGGATTCATTTTATTTTTATATATTCCATTGTATGTACAGTGATCCATTTTAACTATTTTTCTGTTAATAATTCGGTCAAGAGTAAGGTTGGCATGAACAGTTTTGCTAAAATGAGCATGTACCCACTGTATGGTGTATATGTACCTGGTACAGTACTGCCAGCTGGTTTTCTAAATGTGTATATACCAAGTTTACACTTCAGTCTTTGAAGTATGAGAGTAACAGTTGCTCCACACTTTGGCCATTAATGACTATAGTTTAAATTTTTTTAATTTCATCCTTTCTGGTGGATGTGGAGTAGTATCATTGTGGTCTTAATGTGCATTTCTCTGATGACTTTTCATATTTATTGGTCATTTAGATATCCCTTTTGTAAATTAATTTTAAATATATGTGTGTATATTTTAATTGTGGACTGGAGTGATAGCACAGCGGGTAGGACATTTGCCTTGCACTCGGCTGACCTGGCCGACCCAGGTTTGATTCCTTCGCCCCTCTTGGAGAGCCTGGCAAGCTACCAAAAGTATCTCGCCCGCATGCGTGGCAAGCTACCCATGATGTGTTCGATATGCCAAAACACAGTAACAAGTCTCACTATGGAGATGTTACTGGGCCCGCTCGAGCAAATCGATGAACAACAGGAGGACAGTGCTACAGTGCAGTGCTATTTTAATTGTTGAGGTAACATGGTTGTAATTTTAATTTTTTATTCATATACAAGTTTCTGCACTTTTATCTATACTAGGATGCCAAAAACACGCGACCACTCTCTTTGTGTCACTTCCAGTCTTCCTCCTTTAGCACTTCCCCCTGAAATATTGGTTAAAACATTCAGACTGTTTTTAGTTGGGTTATCTTGCATTGATTTTTTTAGCAATTATTTACATATACAGGATTCTTAATTATTTGACAAGTTGCACACAGGACAGCAACCATCTCTCAGATGATGACTGGCCTTTTCACCTTCATTAGGGTGTTCTTTTGATGAACAAGACTTTTTCACCTTAATAAGTTGAATATACCAGTTATTTTCTTTGGTAGTAATTGTCTGTCTAGTTAAAACATTTTACCTTTTCTAAGGTTATTAAAATAGTCTTATAGTGTTTTCTTGAATGTCAACTGTTTTGCCTTTCATGTTTAGGCTTGCTCTGTGTCTACAGTTTTGTTGTTGCTGTTGTTGGGGAGAATCAAAGATTGTTTTTTCCTCCTATATGGATATCCATTTTATCTAATTGCCATTTACTGAAAAGACCGCTTCCTCCACCATGTTACGCTGTTTGAAAAGACCATTTCCTCCACTACATTTCATTGGTATCATTGTTACCACATAACTATATGATTTTAAATTAAATGTTGACATTCAAGTTAGAAATCAGATGTCAAGATTTGGTCTTATCACTCCGGGGCTTCAGTGTATCATGGGTTGGGTGCTTGCCTTGCACATGGCTCACTTAGGTTTGAATTCTGGCACCACATACAGTATCCCGAGCACTGCCAGGAGTGAACCCTGAATACAAAAAGAGCCTGTAAGGAATAAGCCCTGAGCACCTCTGAGTGTCGCTCGAAAACCTAAATAGAGTTAGAGATTCATACTAAATGATCTATGATCCACATTCTTTATATGCCATGTCACCCTGGTTATTGGACTTAGGACTCTGCTACTGATTACTGTTGTATTTTTAGATTGTTCTCCTAATCCCTCTATAAAGGACTTTTAAAATCAGAATTCTCAAATCCCAGACTTCGATTTTCATGGCTATTAGCCCTGAAGGTGATCTATATTGACATTGTGTGTTACCCTCCACTTCCATCCATGAAGCAGCAAATTATGTGATTTTTGTCCTTTCTTGTCTTTTTTTTTTTTTTTTTGGTCTTTTTTTTTACGTAGTATTTCATTGTGTAGAGACCTCAGTCCCGGGACCCACATGCCTGGGTTCCTCTGCCAGTTCTTTCATCATGAGGCCCGTCCGGACGTGTGGAGAGTGGTCCCAGCATGGCCGTGGCTGGCTCCGGAGGTCCTCAGCTGCTGGGGCTTTGCTCGGTTCGGGGGGGGGGGGTGAGGAGGGGAGAAGGGAGAAACTCAACCCTCCCCCCCTCGAAGGGGCCCCGGTGAGGACAGCCAGGCGCGGGGGCAGGAGGCGGAGGTCTCCAAGCCTACTCAGATTGGGACTGGGCCTTCTCCACCCACACCCCCCATCTTCCAGTAGGTAGGCGTCACACCCATCAACTCCCGACAGTGCCAGGTTGGTCCCATCAACGACCAAGACGCAGAGACTATAAAACCTAGCTCCTGGAAGCGCGCGGCCGCATTTGCGGCTGCGTGACATCTTATTATCTTTCCTTTGGAGAACCTGGCAGGCTACAAAAAGTATCCTGCCCGCACGACAGTCTGGCAAACTTACCGTGTCGTACTCAATATGCCAAATACCAGTATCAATGATGGGTCTCATCCTCCTAATCCTGAAAGAGCATTGAAATGGCTCTTATAAAATCTCAGGGCTAGGTAGAAGGAGACGTTACTGGTGCCTGCTCGAGACAGTCGACGAACAACAGGATAATCGTGATCGTGATTTCATTGTGTGGAATATTATGATCAGTCATCTGTAGTTGGACATTTGGGTTGTTTTCATATCTTAACTATTGTACTAAGTGTTTGGTGAACATGGGTTTGCATATGTCCTTTCAAATTAATGTTTTGGTGTTTGGGGATGGATGCCAAGAAGTAGTATCACTATTCCATCATATATATACTTTTTATATGTTTATTGTATGCCAATCTTGGTACTCAAGGCTTACTTCTGGATCAGCACTCAGGGAACTCTCCTTGTCGTGCTCAGAGGGCCATATGGGGTGCCAGGGGTTGAACCGAGGGCAGCTGCATGTAAGGAAGGCAAATGGCGAACACTACCCACTCCAGCCCCTCCATTTAGATTTTTAAGGCAAGCCTTGAGTCCCCGGTGTACTTGAAACAAACTTTCTGAGAGCATGAGAGCACTTCTCAGAGAGATTTTTTTTTCTGGAACTCCTCAGTTTGAATACTATCAAAGGCTTTATAAACACACTAGAAGAGGCTTTTCTTCCTTCTTTTTTAAGTTGATTTTCATTAGTTTACCATATAATGGGTTTTGGAGGATGTAGCTGAGCACCTCTGTTCATCCAGGATTCATCTCTCTCATCACCAGAGATCCAGCACCTTCTTACCACCAAAAATACCACTCTCTCTAGTCCTCCAGCCCATTCCCTTTCTGTTCCATAACCATTGTAGTTTTTATGAAGTTTGGGTTACTTTGTTGTTTGTTGCCAGTTAAGTTGCTTTGGTTCACATAAGAGCGAAGCTGTCTGGTTGTCTTTTTACTTCCTTATTTTGAACAGTGCAGTGACCTCAGTTCCATTCATTTTATCCCAAATGGCACAATTTAATCTTTTTGATGGTTGAATAGTATTCCACTGAGTATATATGTGTTATCGTGTGTGTGTGTGTGTGTGTGTGTGTGTGTGTGTGTATCACAGCTTCTTTACAGTTATCCGTCAAGGGGCATTTATGTCATTTCTTCTTCTAGCTATTGTGAATATTGCTGTATGAAATTGAGAGACCGACAGTCTTTCCAAATTAGTCTTTTTATATTCTTGGGATATAGGTCTTGAAGTGGTATCACTAATATAGAGTATTTTGATTTTTTTTGTTTGTTTTTTGCTTTTTGGGTCACACCTGGTGATGCAAAGGGGTTAGGTTACTCCTGGCTCATGCACTCAGAAATTACTCCTGGAGGTGCTCAGGGGACCATATCAGACGCTGGGAATCGAACATGGGTTGGTTGCGTGCAAGGCAAACACCCTAACCGCTGTGCTATCACTCCAGCCCCTGATTTTTATTTTTTAAAAACCTCTTCATAGAGTTTTCCATAGAGGGTGCCCCAATTTACATTCCCACTAACTGTGTAACAGTGGACTTTTTCTCCATAACCTCACCAACACTTGCTTCCAATCTTTTTAATAAGCTGTTCTTATCAGTGTGAAGTGATAGCTAGAAGAAAAATAGATGCTTCCAGTTTGTTGTGTATGTAAAGTAATCTTTACATAGGAGAAAAGTGACTTATAATATCTAAAACAGCACTGTAAATCTGCATTGCTTTTAAATGGCTTTGGATAATTTTACCTTATTTTATGTGTCCTTCAAAATATGTTTTTGTTTTCTTTTTCACAGATATAAATTAATTATCTGAAAGCAACTAAACAATGGAGCCAGACATTATTCGAATGTACTCTTCATCCCCACCACCACTGGACAATGGAGCTGAGGATGACGATGACGATGAATTTGGGGAATTTGGTGGGTTTTCCGAAGTTAGCCCTGCTGGTGTAGGGTTTGTTGATTTTGATACACCAGATTATACTCGTCCCAAGGAAGAGTTTGTACCTTCAAACCATTTTATGCCAATTCATGATTTTTCAGAAAATGTTGATAGCCTTACAAGCTTGAAAACCATTAAAAATGGTAATGACAAGGACATCACTGCTGAACTTTCTTCTCCTGTGAAAGAGTCTGATGTTTTACTTTCTACCACCAGCAAAGAAATAATTTCATCTGGTACTTTAGAATCCTCCAGTGATGGCAAAGCAAGCCCAGGAGATTTAAGTAAAGTAGTGGAGCAGAGACTGAATGTTGGAACACCTGAAAGTTTCTCTCCAGGAGATTTTAGAACTGATATAAATGCCGTTAATCACAGCAAGCAGTTAGAAAGCTGCAATAGTGAAAAACCTCCTTGTCTGGAGATTCTGACAAATGGGTTTGCAGCATTGGAAACTGTAAATCCTCAGGGAAAAGATGATCTGGACACTGAAGCTGATTCAAAAGGACAAAAGCCTCATATCACATGTAATGCTGAATATAAAGACTGTGCACCTAGCCCTGCTGAGGCATTTGCAGATTTTGCCACATTTTCCAAAAAAGAGAGGACACAAATAGAAGAAGTAGAATGTGCAATTTTAAATGATAAAGTTGCACTAACCATTCAGGAAAATAATAAGATTAACAGAGTCAGTGAACTGAGTTCTGTAAAAGAAGTGTCTTTGGGTAGAAGTCATGACAGTAAAGGAGACACTGATGGCGAAGAGCAGGTTTGTGTTTCAGAAATAAGCATAGTGAATGACAGAGGTTTCAGTACTGAAAAGCAAGACCTTCCCACATCTCAGCAGGAAGAAATTTTAAATTCAACTGTTCTGTCAAAGACTTGGAGTTTGGTAGATTCAGCTGATAACTCAGAAGCCAGTAGGAGTGGACAATGTAAAACTGAGAAAAAACTTGCTTTGTTTACTTCTAAATGTTCTGACCTATGCATAGATTCTGTTCAAACTTCTAATGCTGCTGATGAAGTTGGTTCTTCCAAAGATGACAGTAGAAAGTTTACGAATTCCCAAAACCCCAATGTTGATCTCACAGAAGATGATGTTCTGGGTAATTCTGTAAGTGTAAAAAACGGTGATAGAAGTAACAACCTTGTCATTTGCAGTGATCCCACAGAGGATGATTTTGGTGACTTTGGCACAGCCAGTGGTACAAATCCATCTTTTGTTACTGGTACTCAAGATTCAATGTGTAGTGTCAATTTTGAAAAGTCCTCAGAGCACTTTCCACATTCTCATGATCCAGGAGATGACTTTGGAGAATTTGGGGATACAAATTCTGTTTCTTGCCAAGAGGGAGTTGTCTTTACTGAGTCAGACCCAAATCAGACTTCTGATAGCTTTTCAGAGGGGTGTAAATTGGCAAGAAAGTCCACTGGAACAGACACTGAACCTGTTTCAAAACAAAAAACTGCTCAAGAATGTGAGTTTGGAGATTTTGATTCTGTGCCAAATATTCATGATGACTGTAGTGCTTTTCAAGACTCTGATGATTTTGCGGACTTCAGTTCAGCTGGTCCAAGCCAAGTTGGAGATTGGAATGCTTTTGAGGATGGACAGAAAGATAATTGCTCTTGGGCTGCTTTTGGAGACCAGCAGACTACTGAATCTCATCATCGTAAGGAAGCCTGGCAGTCACATAGGACAGATGAAAAGATTGATTCTCCATTAACCCCTAAAACTCACAGTGTACCTCTGGCAACTTCCAAAGGAGCAGTTGCTGGTGGCCATTTACAGGAATCAGCCACTTCAGTTCAGGTATTTACCAACTTTTTCTCTTTTGAATAATATATTACTTGCTATAGGAGTTTCTAATTCAGCTTTTCAAAAAATAATTGTAAGCTGGGTGTCTTTTAAAGGAGTCACTTTATGTACTTGTCTGATTTGTAATTTTTCACAACTCTAATAAATTTGACAGGCAATTCTGTTGTAATTATTAGTAAAATTTTTCTCAATTTACGTAAGAAGTCATTAATTTCCTAACTAATCCGGTGAATTTAGTTTTTTGCCTTTACAGTTTTTGTTTTGTTTTGTTGTGGAGGACTGTACTCTCAGTGCTCCAGGATTGATCCCGGCAGTACTTAGGGGGACCATGTCACGTCAGGGATAGAATCCAGGCCTCCCACATACAGTGCATGTGCTCTGAGCCCTTTAAGCTATCTCCCAAGTCTTACAGTGACTTTTAACATATTAATGGCATGTGTACCCCAGTGGCTTACAGGTAAATGTGGGTTAGCACACATTGCATCACTGGTGTCAACATGTTAAAATTTAGTAGAATTTGAAACCTCAAACTATGCCAGTGGCTGTATAGGAGATTAAAGTGAAATTTAAAAAAAATAGAGAATTGTTATTCAGTGAACACAGAAGTCCATATCACAATAAAAAATTCTGAGTTTTCAGGACACCCACCTCCATCCGCCCAAAAAAACCCACAACAAATTTGAACCCTTAATTTTATAGCTACTAAAGGACCTCGTGTGGGTGTGTGAGGTAGATTAAGGTTTAGAACTACAAAAAGAAACAGTACTAGATTGATTTACTTGAGGTTGTGTTTATTTGCTTGTAATTTCTTACAAATGAATATTTATGCTTAATTTTCTAGGGAATAGGTGTGTCAGGGAGAATATTCTTACCCGCACTTCCTATGCTTCACCTTATCTGATTGAGACTTTTCCTGAAAAAAAGAGTATTTGATATTTTTTGAGGGGTGGGCCACACACATCAGTGCTCAGAGCTTGCTCCTGGCTCTGTGATTATAGATCATATGTGTCAGGAATCAACCCAAGCCGTTGAGAGACCATATGGGTTGCCAGGGATTGAACCCAGGTTAGCCATCTGCGAGGCAAGCACCCTACCTGCTGTACTATCAGTCTAGCCCAATTCATTTAGATTTATTTAGCCCCCAAAGATCCATAGCTTAATATCCATTTTGCTGAATTTAACCTTTTCTCGGCCAAGAGTTAGTGGGAGAGAGCTCTCCCTCTGTTGAAAATCAATTTTATATTGACAACTGATAACTTGTATTAGTAACACTGGGTCCACTTTTTTAATTAAAACCAGAATCTATAAATTCTTTTCCTCCAGTGATCCAAGCAAACCATTTGCAACTGAAATTATTTCCAAAGTCTTTTAATTGACAAGGTTATCTGTCATTTCTTTGATGCCTTTGATACATACATTAAAATATTAAAGAAATTATGGTGTTAGTATGCACAGCTTTTCATTAGACTTTGAGCATTTGAAGATTTTAAATTTACTAATTCACTTATTACATGGGTAGGTTAATGTGTGTTATCCTGTAGTTTGTTATTCAGGACAAATCTTGCAATTTCTTTGTTTTGGCCTTGGGACCACACCCAGTGGTGCACAGGGACAACTCTTGGCTCTGTACTTAGGGGGTTGCTCCCAAAATTGTTCAGGGAACCTTAAAGTGCCAGAAATAAACCACTTGCCTCCAGTGAACAAAGCATGCACACAAACCCTTGAGTTATTTTCCTGGCCCAAATTTGCAATTTTAAACAAAAATGATTTTATTTGAGGGGGGGTGTTGTGGGTGTGATTTGGGGCCACACCTGGCAGTGCTCAGGATTTACTCCCAACTTTACACTTGGGGATTACTTCCGGTGTGGTGGCCTCAGGACCATATGTGGTATTAGGGACCAAACCCGAGTTGGCTGCTGATAAGGCAATGCTTTACCCACTGTATTATTTCTCTGGCACCAGCAAAATGGTTTAAACCATTATAAACTAATACATAATCCAAAGTGAAGACTTTTTTTTTTTTCTTTTTCGGCCATACTCGGCAATGCTCAGTGGTTACTCCTGGCTCTGCACTCAAGAATTACTCCTGCTGGTGCTAAGGGTACCATATGGGATGCAGGGGATCAAACTCAGGTCAGCCGCATGCAAGGCAATGCCCTACCCATTGTACTATCAATCCAGACCCAAAGCGAAGACTTCCAATTTTAATCTAATTCTTTTTTTATTTAGGTTTTTTTTTTTTCTTTTTGGGTCACACCCAGCAATGCTTAGGAGTTACTCCTGTCTCTGCACTCAGGAATTACTCCTGGCAGTGCTCGGGGAACCATATGGGATGCTGGGAATCGAACCCGTGTTGACTGTGTGCAAGGCAAACGCCCCACCCGCCATGCTATCGCTCCAGCCTCCTCCATATTTAGTTTTACTAGATTGCAGGGTGACACTAGTATTGAATAATTTTTAATTTATAGCTTTTAGCATTAACAGGTAACTTTTTAAAAGTGTAACCACTTGAGAAAGTAATATTTTGCACTAATGTTGTGAAGTAATAATTTGAAGATATTTGTGTATAATTTTGACAGCTGTATAGAGAAGGTAATAAAGACTGTAGGTTTTATGGAATTTTTCAGATCTAAGTTTTAGCTTTAACTGAGTCTCTTAAGCTGTATGGTCTGTTTCTGTTTCGGGAGCACACCTGACTGTGCTCAGAGCTTATTCCTGGCTCTGCTCAGGGATCACCTTTGGCAGTGTTTTGGAACCATATGCAATTGCCAATGATCAGCAGAATTGGCTGTGGGCAAAGCTAGTGCCTTAACTACTGATCTCTCTTTCTCTGACCCAAAGCTTTATGATTCTGTACAAGTTGCGTGTGTAAAACAGATATGATCAAAGATCAAAGGACCTTTGTAAAGGGAAAGTGACAATAGAATTTTTAATGAGTTTTTGAAAAATAAAAAATAAGAATTTTATTGTAAATTCTATTTTGAAAAAAAATTTAAAAAACTGCCATTGTTGCAAGATTTCCTAATATTTGTTTGGCTTAGCCTTGGGCTTTTTATTTTGTGAAATGGGTTGTGCAGAGTGAGGAGAATTTACTAGAATGGGCTAGAAGGAAAGAGTTCACATAGAGAAATAGGAAAGTTCTGCTGAATAAGTAACTGAATTGAAAAAAATTCATAATTTTGCTGCTATTGTAAAGAAGTCTCGTGGCCTGAATCTTCCTTTCCATATTCTACTGGAAAAACCTATTCCTATATAATATATAACCTCTTCCTCTTTAGATTACGTCTACTTTTATTAAAATATTTCTCTTAGTTGCTACCATGTTGGAAAACAGCACAGAAATTCTCACTAGTAAAACAGAAGGTATTTCTAATATCAAAATTTTAGTGATTCATCATTGTTTAATCATGCCTGGATGCAATAATTCTGACCTGAATCTTAGGGATTTTTTTATCCAAATTATGCTTTGACAGAATATTGTGAGAGTCATTAGAATTCAGAGCTCAATCTATTCAGTTAAATAAACATGGCTAAGAATTTCTGTTATATGAAGTCAGACCAATAATATAATTGTCCTTTCAAATTGGTTCTACTTGGGGAACCGCAGAGATAGTACAGAAGGCAGGGCACAGCTGGCCCACATCCTGTCATATTGTCCTGCGGGAGTGTGGTCCTTGATTAGAGCAAGAAGTCCTGTGCACTGCTGGGTTTTGCCCCCAAACCAAAACCAAACCAAAACAAATTTGTTCTGCTTTTTACTAGATCCATAACTTTTTAGAATTTTTCCTTTTCCCATCCTATCAAAATGACATTTTAATGTTTTAATAAATAATCTTCATTGGGTCGAGAAGCAGTTGTCTCAGCTTTTTTCTTTCATAATCTGTTATTTAGGTGGAGAAAAGTCAAGCAAGAGGAAATCTTTCAAACTTATAAAATCCTATTTCTTAGCTGTGAGTTCAAGTCTCAGTGTAAAAGCCACATACAAATATTTATTGACAGATGCTTTCTTTTTTCTAATGCCCCAGAGTTTAGCATTTTTCATTTTCTTTTACTATTCTTAAGCCTGCTGATTTTCCAAAAAGGGACCTTGATTGAATATCCCTTTTTTGTACTGGAGATGTCTTTTTCAGTATACAAGAAGGAAATAATGTTAAGCTTTGAGCTTTCATACAATTTTACTGCTCTCTATGTTGCTTTAAAAGTTAGATGACTGAAAAGGAAGTTATGTGACACTTTTTTATTTGAACATTTTCTAATTAAATGTATTATATACATTTGACTATTGGTAATGCTGCTTTGAAAATATTACTGGATGAGTGCTGGAGCGATAGCACAGCGGGTAGGGCGTTCGCCTTACAAGCGGCCAACATGGCCGACCCGAGTTCGATTCCTCCGCCCCTCTCGGAGAGCCCGGCAAGCTACCGAGAGTATTCGATATGCCAGACACAGTAACAACAAAGTCTCCAATGGAGACGTTACTGGGCCCGCTCGAGCAAAATTTTTATCACAAAGTGGGAAAAGTCTAATGCTTTGTCTTATGTTTTGAGATATTTATTTATTTGCTCAAAAAAGTTGGCATTTACAAACTTAAAGCTAACTAATAATATATTTTTCACTTCGTTTTGAGTACAATTTGTGCATACTTTTACTAAAAACAAATAAGCCACAAAATAATAAAATTAAGTAGTTCAAAGATAGACTTCCAATTAAAATATAAAAGCTGAGGAGGCTGGAGTGATAGCACAGCGGGTAGGGCGTTTACCTTGCACGTGGCCGACCCAGGTTCAATTCCCAGCATCCCATATGGTCCCGTGAGCACTGCCAGGAGTAATTCCTGAGTGCATGAGCCAGGAGTGACCCCTGTGCATCGCCAGGTGTGATCCAAAAAGCAAAATAAAATCAAATAAAATATATAAAAGCTGTGCCAGAACAAGAACTGAGTGTTTAAGTAAGGGATACACATGATAAACTTTCAGTATCTATATTGAAAACCA